ATGTTGGAGAATAAAAACTTTAAAATTTTCAGACTCATTGGGTTGTATATTAATATTTTTTCGTTTTATTATTTCAATTAGATACCTCGATTAGTTTCGGCCAGCATGGCCATCATCAGAAGAAAAACAAAATTCTTCTTGTTAGTAGCAGTGAACTACAGAAATGAATGTCTTGATGGAGAAAATGAACTTTTTTTTAAAATTTAAATTGTTTTTTAATTTTTAAAATTTTTTATCATAATTTTTGGTCAGTCATTGTGTTGGTCAAACCAGTCACTTTTAAGTTGTTAATTAATGTAAAGGCTGGATGGATTCATGCTGCTCTGAATTAGCGTGATGTATAGATATCAGACGTTTTTGTAGGCGAGTAATTTGTTAATAAAAATCGCTGTTTTGCATATTTTTTTTAAATAAAAATATTATTTTATTTTCAGTTTATAAAAATGTGTATCAATAATCATAATCTCCGGAATAATCATTTTAAAATGTTATTGTTGAATTGTCCTGTTTCTTTTTCATAATAAATATTGTTTAAAAAAAACGCCTGATAATTATATTACAACAACATATATATATATATATATATATATATATATATATATATATATATATATATATATATATATAGTGGGTATGTTCAAATATAACACTGCACAATAAATAAATATTTACGGCTCTGCTTTTGTATTGAGCCCTGTATTAAATTAATGTTTTTTTTAAATTTGTATATATATATATATATATATATATATATATATATATATATATATATATATATATGCAGTTTAAATGCCGCAAACATCTCCACAGAGGAGTTCGAACCCGCTGTTGTAAACCGAGCAAACTAGAGAAAAACCTGCCACCTAAATTTGAAAAAAATCATCTCAACGATCTGAGAGAATTAAGAACCAACATTAAATCTAAGACCAATACATCAGGCTGTATGACTGTCAACCCTTCAGCATCTCCCTCGTATGGACTTGTTTGCAAATACCGTGCAGGATTTTTGCCTCATAAAAGATATAAACATAAAAACTGAAAACGCTCATACGTCTAAAACGACGGGAGATCTATCACACACACACACACACACACACACACACACACACACACACACACACACACATATATATATATATATATATATATATAGGATTGGTGTATACGGAATAAATTCCAATAGCCAACAATTACTCTTCTTAAAAAGAGTGCTCAATGCAAGTAGAGCGAATATAATTATTTATTCGAAAATTATAACATAAAATATGTTATAAAATCACTACAAAAATAGCCATTTTGTTTCAACAACTCTGGTGTCTTATCAAGTGATGGTGTTGAATGTAGAATCTATATTCAAATCATCAGAAATGTAGTAAATAATTATTTATGTAGAATAAATAATATATATTTATATATATATATATATATATATATATATATATATATATATATATATATAAAACAAACGGGGATAAATATTTTATTTTATATTTGAACTGAACCGAGATTAATATTATTTATCAATAAAAAAAATATGTTAGAAATGGACAGACCTAAAACTGGATAAAAAAATGATTATTTTATAATATGCATAAAGGGGTATTACTTATTTTTGTAAAAGAATTTATTGATTTTTTTTATTTGCGATAACTTATTTATCTATATGTGTGTGTGTGTGTGTGTGTGTGTGTGTGTGTGTGTGTGTGTGTGTGTGTGCGCGCGCGTTCTGTCTACACAGATTTATTCCTGTGACATTGTGGCCATTTTAAACATTTATTGGAAGTGGACAGAAGTAGACAATATTGTCACAAGGTCAAATTTCTGAAGCTTTTAACGAGGATCGATCTTCGTTTCAGATAAAACAAAACTGCTTTCTATTACTCACCCAGGGAGAACCATTCCTGCCTCCCTCCATTAAAATGTCTGACGCTCAACTCCACGAGAGCACCTCTTAGCGTCTACTCGGTCTCCCATTGTCCGCTGACCTGAGACGGAAGGAATACATTGAGTCAAAAGCTTCGTCCACCGCTAGGAAAGTTGGCTCCCTGTGCCGCGTCAGGAAATTTCCTCACCGGAGTCAATCCTTCAAATCTACAAATCAACCATTTGCACTTGCATGGAGTATTGCTGCCATATATGGTCTGGAGCCCCTTTCTGATTGTCTCAAGGTCAAAAGACGGATATGCAATGTAATTGGCCCTGATCTGGCATCTCGTCTGCAGCCGCTCTCTCACAGACGTGCCGTTGCCTCCCCGTGTCTTTTTTACCAATACTTTCATGGTAACTGCTCCGATGAGCTGCTTTCGCTGGTTCTCAGTCTTCATGAATTTAAGCGTTCTACTAGGCTGCCATCTTGCTCTCACACTTTCACTGTCGAAACTTAAATGTAGCCGTCTCTTCTACTCCAACAGCTTCATGTCTCGCACTTCTCGCCTGTGGAACTCCCTCCCCAGTTCTTGTTTCCCTGATAGCTATAATCTCCAACTATTCAAATGTAATGTCAATCGACGTCTCCAGATCTCTTGATCTATCACCTATTCTTCTCTTCATCCTTTCCTCTATCACTCCTATTTGCTCTCGCTCCAACACTCTGTAACCCCTTGCGTGCTGGTGGCTTCCCGCCTTGCTTGAGGTTGAATGCTTAAAAATAAAAAAAAATAACTGCATGGCTATTATTATATCAGTTAATTTACTATCACGATTATTCAGTGTAGATATTTGTTGTGCAAAACCACTTTTGTAGGAAAATCTAATTTCTATTTCATTTACCGAGAAGGAATCCTTTTTTTTTCTCGAAATGTTTGTATTCTCAATTTTGCTGCCGATTTTGCTTTATATTTTCCGATCCCACAAGATTCCAACGGTCGATTAAACTCGCTATGAACCTGCCAGATAAGTCTCTCCCACTCCAACACTCTACACGTGTCCTGGCCGCCAATTCCATGTATGAGACGACATTCCAATCCAGTTGAAAGGTTAAAGATGAATCTCTCAAGGGCTTTTTAACACCACGCAGACCCACGTTTTATTGGTATTTTAATTCGACAATGTTCCTAAAGAGCTGCAAACCGTCCCATTTAATACGTTTTAATATGTTTAATATATTTAATATGTTCCTCGTTTAATATGTTCACTGTTTTATGTGAATAATAGGTTCCTTTTTTAATATGTTTAATATGTCTCCCCTTTAATATGGTCCTCGTTTAATATGTTCCGCGTTTTATCTGCTTAATATATTACACCTTTAAATTTTTTAATATATTCCCCGTTTAACATGTTTAATATGTTCACCCTTTAATATGTTTAATATGTTTCCGCCTAATATGTTTACTATGTTTAATATGACCCCCGTTTAATATACTTAATGTTCCCCTTTAATATATTCCCACTTTAATATTCTTAATATGTCCCCCCTTTAATAAGTTTTATATGTTCCCATTTTAATATCTTTAATATGATCTGCTATACTATGTTTAATATGTTCCCCTTTAATATGTTTAATATATTCCCCCTTTAATGTTTAATATGTTCTCCTTTAATATGTTTAATATATTCCCCCTTTAATATGTTTAATATGAACTCCTTTAATATGTTTAATACGTTCCACCTTTAATATGTTTAATATGATCCCTTTAATATGATCCCCTTTAATATGTTTAATATGATCCCCTTTAATATGTTTTATATGTTCCCCCTTTAATATGTTCATCTTTAATATGTTTAATATGATCTCTTTTAATGTGTTTTATATGATCCCCTTTAATATGTTTAATATGACCCCCTTTAATATGTTTTATATGTTCCCCCTTTAATATGTTTAATATGTTCACCTTTAATATGTTTAATATGTTCCCCTTTTAATATGTTCCCCGTTTAATATGTTTAATATGTTCCCTCTCTGATATGTTTAATATGATCCCCCTTAATATGTTTAATATCATCCCCTTTAATATGTTTTATATGTTCCTCCTTTAATATGGTTAATATGTTACCCTTTAATATGTTTATATGATCCCCTTTAATATGTTTAATATGTTCCCATTTTAATATGTTCCCCGTTTAATATTTTTAACATGTTCCCTGTTTAATATGTTTAATGTGTCCCTCCTTGGATATGTTTAATATGTTCCCCCTTTAATATTTTTTCCACCATTTGTTTGCTTAATTTTGATTCATGGATAAGTGTAGAGCCGAAAGATTTGGTGATCCAAGAGTCGGGCAGAATTCTTCAAGGTAGGTGGAAAAACGCTACATTAAGTTGGCCCGCTGTTTGGCTAAGGTTGGATTGATATGAAGTTCTCAAAAAGGTCAAAGGAAAGCCACTCTTGCGTGTATAAACATGACAATTGTCATGCGAAGCACTTACTAAATGTCAAAATCGGAACATCGAAAAATAAAAATAACAGGCTGTGTGATTTCTGCATGAAATCACACTTCTTTCTTTTTATATACCGTGTCCTTTCAGGACGTAGACGATCATGGCCCTCCACTTCCCCCTATCCTTTGTGGCACTCAATGTGTCGTGCCTCCCCCAGACCACGTTCTGTCATCCACATGCTTAAAGCCGCTAGGTATGTCATGCGTTGTTTTCCCTTGTCTCTCTTTCCCTCTGTTCGACCTGTGAGTATCAGATTCTCCCAGCCTTCCTTTTTCATTACGTGTCCCAGAAATTTCACCTGCCTCTTCCTGATGTTAAGTATAAGCTTCCTCTTTGTTTGCATCTTCTCCAAGACCTCATCGTTGCTCACACGCTCGCTCCATGATATCCTTAGCTTCCTTCTATAGAACCACATCTCCGTCGCCTCGAGTCTCTTCATCATAGAGCCCAGTGTATACCTCCAATCCAGGGTATACCGACTGCTCAGGGTATACCCCCAGCACAGATATGTGCTCCTATAATACAGTATACACCGATATGCATTATTATATTTGGAGTTGTTTTATTCCCGGCTCTATAGACAAGTTATAAGTTAAACCATGCCATTATACACATTTGAGCTTACGGACATATCATGTTCAAAAACCGGTTCACTTACGATCACCGAAGTTAAGTAGCTTGAAGTCTGGTCAGTATTTAGACGGGTGACCGCTTGGGAATACCAGGTGGTGTATAATTGTTAATCGGAGTGCTGTGTTCCAAATTCCACTTGGGCTTGTTATCACTTTCACACAATTAATTTTGGGGAAGTTATTAATCCATAACTTCTCTACTAGATATGGGTTAATGCGTAAGACTTGTATCACTAAACCATTATTATCCTCCCCCCACCCAAACCTCGCAATTTAAAAATATTTTCTGGCTTTAAATAACCTGAAGTGTTGATAATAATCCGTAAATACACGAATCAATCAATCATTTTCGGATATAAAATTCGCTTGGTTAAAATATACCCCCCCACCTAGGACGAATATGTTTTCTTCTTTTACCACTATATAAGATGTACAGAATATAAAATATAAATATAATAAAATAAACAAATAAACAAAATAAATTAATAAATAAAATAAAATAAATGAAATAAAATATAAAATACAAAAATTTGCCTGTTAAAATATACCCCACTAGGATAGATTATGTTTTCTTCTTTTACCATTGTATAAGATGTATAAAATATAAAATATAAATATAATAAAATAAACAAATAAATAAAATAAAGAAAGAAAGAAAAGAAAAGAAATATAATAAAATAAAATATAAATTATAAAAATTTGCTGGGTTTAAATGTACCACACTAAGACAGAATATGTCTTCTTCTTTTACCACTATATAAGATGTATAGAATATAAAATAGAAATATAATAAAATAAAAAATAAATAAATAAATAAAATAAAATAAATACAATAGAATAAAATATAAAAATTTTCTTGGTTAAAATATACCCCACTAGGACAGACTATGACTTTTTCTTTTATCATTGTATAAGATGTATAAAATATAAAATATAAATATAATAAAAAAACAAATAAAAATAAAATAAAATAAAATAAAATAAATAAATAAATAAAATAAATAAAGTAAATAAATATAATAAAATAAAATATAAAATATAAAAAATTTGCTTGGTTCTAGGAGAGAATATGTCTTCGTTTACCATTGTATAAGATGTATAAAATATATATATATATATATATATATATATATATATATATATATATATATATATAATAAAATAAAAATAAATAAATAAATAAAATATAATAAAATAAATTATAAAAATATAAAAATTGCTTGGTTAAAATATACCCCACTAAGACAGATTATGTCTTTTTTTACCATTGTATAAGATTTATATTATTATATCTACCAATGACAGTCATACATACAATTGATCATGCAGTGTCACAGATCTGCACAGGATACTTGAATGCATTCTACAACCCTTACTTTTATTCTAATGTCTTGGTTGATTAGTACTTCAAGAATGGTGATTACGTCTCATCATTTTACTGTTGAAATAGCCAGATGAAGCCGTAAGTTCTATTCTAATAGTTTCTTTTCTCGCACTCCTCACCCGTGTAACCCTCTTCCGGTTTCTTGCTGTCCTGTCAACTATAATTTTAAAAAAATTAAATGAAACTATCATCACCATCTTCTGTCTTCCTTCATAAACTTATTCTTTTATTGTCCTTTCTTTTCAATAATGTCTTCTCATTTTTTCACTCCCAGTAACACCTTGCGTCTTAATGGCATTATCGCCTTGCTTGGGGTGAAATGATTATTAAAAATAAGAAAAATATCTGATTTTGAAAAAAAAAAATTTGTTCCTTATTAGAAACATCGTACGATCACCGAAATTAAGCAATGTCGTGTCTGGTCAGTACCTCGATGGGTAACCGCTTGTTAATACCAGGTGCTGTAAGCTTGGATGTTCGGATGATGTAATCGAAAATGGCTCGGAATTATTAATCGGAGCGCAGAGTTCCAATTCCAGTTGGGTTCGTTATATTCGCTTACGCGCAAATAGCATTGGGAAACGTATGAATACATTACTTCTCCCCAGCTATGGGTTAATTAGTAAGACTTATATCATTAAAACATTATCTTCCAAAAGAATAAATATATAAAATAGAATAAAAATTACGTACAAAATATTTAGATTTCGGCATTAAATAATCCATGGAGACTGATAGGCTATTGAACAAAAACAACCCAAACAAGCAAAAACACTTGTCGGTACCAACAGAAAAAGGAAGCAGAAATTGGCCTTGGAGAATATAATTTAAACTAGGCTATTTTGTATCCCGAGGCATGAAGTAGGTTGAACCCATCCTATCTCTGGTATTATTGGAGACCAGGCTTATCTAAAGCCCGGGATAAGAGAGGGGGATAACCTCGGTTGAGACAATGGATCTGGCCTTTTTGTCAAAATCAAAATGTTTTTTTGGTGTGTATGTGGTGTATTTATTAGAAGTTCGGAATAAGAAGTTGGTAGGCTGAGTTCGAATTCCGTTAAAGATCTTTACATTAAGTTTCTCGAAAGGGGAAATGCATGAATAAAACTCTTCACCACCAGGCTGTGAGTTAAATAGCACGACATACTGGACTGTCTAACTTTGGTTGAAAACTATTATAGGAGAAAAAAAAAATTCAAAACTCTATGTGGACCTCGAAATGGTCACATTTGAAGTATAAACAACAGGATAGGAGAGGAAGATAATCTCGGTTGATACACTGTCTCTGACCTTTTTGTTAAAATCAAGATGTTTTTTGGTGTGTATGCGGTGTATTTGTTTGAGGCGCAAAATAAGAAGTTGATGAACTGAGTACGAATTCTGTTAAAGATCGTTACATTAACTTTCGCAAAAGGGTAAAAGTATGAAAAAATCTCTTCACCACCAGCTTGTGAGTTAAATAGCACGACAGACTGAACTGTCTAACTGTCGTTGAACATTATTATAGGAGAAGAAAGACAAATTCAAAACCCTATGTAGACCTCGTAATGGTTTCAGTATAAACCCCATGTTGGCATTTTGGGGTTTTAAGAAACACAAGTGGGCCTGAGCAGTTTTCTTCCTCGGAAACGAGCAGCGATGCTGAAGATGAGAACTGCAGTCGAAGTATGACAGTAAAGAGGAGTAATCTGGAGGACAGTAGATAGCGATTGGCATTGCATTTAAATTTTAGCAGATTAAAGCTGACTGGAAAGAGTGGAGCCGGAAGGGAGTTCCACAAACGAGAAGTGCGAGATAAGAAACTATTAGCATAGAACGTACGATTACATCTTGCTGACACAGCTGTAAATTGATGAGACTTCGCCACCAGTCTAGCTTATATCCATAAAATCTAGGTATCATAGCGAAAAGCTCATCCAAATAATTACCGTAAAATTATTTTTAGAAAAGGCACAGAGAGACAACATTACAGCGGTGAGAAAGTGACTGAAGCCAAGATGCCAGATCAGGACGAATAATATTGCTGATTCTTCTTTGGATTTTATCAAGGAGCTTTAGACATATAACAGCAGCACCGGACCATATATGGTAGCAATATTCTAAGCATGGACGAATGATATACTTCTGAAGAGAAAAATGGCTAGCATGATAGACTGAACCAAATTTCTTAGTAGATGACCTAACAATGGATTCAATATAGTCTTTCCACTTCATGTCAACTGAGAATGTTATCCTGAGAAGGCACAACAGTTCACCCTCCTGGAGGTTAGCATCAGCCATACTAATGGAAGCTAGAAAGGAGCATCTGAGATAAAGAACAGTTTTGTTTTGGAGGGATGGAAATTAACAAGTCATCCTTTGCACCAGTAAACAACGGATAAACGCGATTAAAAAAGACCCCCCCCAAAAAAAAACAGTTATGTTGGTAATGTCAGATTTTTTAATTTTTGCATTGTTTTTTTTTTTTTTTTTTTACATTGTTTTCCAATTTTTACATTGTAATGATAATGGATATATCCCCGTTCACATAAATACAGTAGTAAATACTGTATGTTAGTTTGCAATTGGAGATCCGTACTGTACTGGTCTCTGCTTCCGAACAGAAAGCATCCCCAGACGAGGCTATGTCGAAGGGTAGAGTCTCGTCTCGGAAAACAACTACCCGACCCCGTTTTTTTTAACGGTTCTACGGGGAATTTTTTGGCCGAGACTAAGGGCTCGGATACCCCACATTAAATTCGGCCTTGTTCTACATATGACCGTGTGGGGCGGCTGGTAGGTATCCTTCAGTTGGAGATACATCGTGGAATCCACTTGACTCACTTCTAGCAGTTGACTACTACTTCTACGCGCCGCTGGCGAATCTTATGTGTTGTTCTTGTCTAAAGTACTATCGTTCATTAACAAACTCCGTGTGATTATTCTATTCAGTAACGTTCCCTTTTTAGACTCCTTTTTCTTTTTTTTTCCCCATTTTTTTTTTTTGCTATAGGCGTATATGTATGTGCGATTTTTTTTTTACTTATACACAACGCGTCATACGAGGGTTACTAGTTCGAGCGGGCCGACAACTCCGTGACAATCACTATCTATCATGACTATATCGCTATTAATATGACTGATGATCTGACGAGTGGCACCAGCTCGAAACGTCACAGTTAGAACACACCATGCGATGTTCACAATCTCAATTCACTTTGTGTTCTTTTAATTAAAAAAAAGCAAGTTCCACTCTAGCTTCTTTCACAAAACTTTTACTATGTGAAACAAACTCCCGAGCGAAGTCCTCCCTAACAACTACAACTTTGGTCTCTTTAAGACAACTGATATCTATCCTACTTGGCCTTATAATATTCTCTTACTGTCCCCTTCTCCTTGCCTTATGATTTCGCTCGTTAACCTTTACCTTGAGTGACCCTAGGACCTAGTATTTTGTGAACTATTATTAAAAAAAGACGTCATATTTCTTTTGTAATTGTATTTAAGCTTTAACTAATCCCAATGCTAATACATTTTCGAGTGGGACGGGATTACTTTGTAAGTAAAACCGTTTGTTAATTGTATTTGACAGTTCATTAATTTCAACATTAATATCTATTTAATAAGGGATGAGTAGAGCATTGCCTTTAGAGCAAACACTTTTATTAACATCTCGTTTATTAACATCTCGTTTATCGCTTAAATGACTGTATTTAAGATTTTACAAATTTCATTATT